ACAATATTTGGCCGAGATACAACTATTTGAAAATCTGGAGTCTGATGGTGCAAAAAAATCTAAATATTAAGAAAATCGCCTTTAAAGGGGTCCTATTATGCTCTTTTACAAAGTCTTGATTTTGTTTTGGGGGTGTACTAGAACAGGCTCTCATACTAGGTTGTTCGAAAAACACATTATTCTTCACATATTTTACATTATTACAACACCTCTCTCCCCAGTCTGGCATGAACGGCTCGAATAGTTCCTGTATCAAATGAAGGCCCACCTTCTGAGATACGAAATGTGCACATGTCCACTCTACTCCTCCCATTTATTTGACTACAACATTTTAGTTTCGTAGCTGTAAATCGCAGTTCTCTGAGCTCTGATTGTGTTTTCTATTGTGTTTGTGCAGTTGGAGAAAGCCAAAGAGCAGGATGATGAAGACCAGTCTCGGTCTCAGACTCAGATCCAGTCATCTGAAAGCCCGCTCTCAGCCGCAGAGGGGCCCAAGAAGCCTGGCCGCAGGAAGAAGGTCGCAGTACCACCAGCAGCAGAAGCGTTGGACCTGGAGATGGCCAGTCCCATCAAGAAAGTGGCCCGGGCCCGCAGCAAAGCCAAGGCTCTGGCCAAAGCCCAGGCTCAAGCGGAGGCCGAAGCGCAGGCTGCACTGGCAGCAAAGAGGCAGGCGGAGCGGAGGGCGCAGGCTCGGAGACGAATGGAGGAGAGGAAGAGACAGCAGATCATCTTAGAGGAGATGAAGAAGCCTGCAGAGGACATGTGTCTCCCCGACCACACGGTGAGCGTGTTGTGCTGAGGGATTCACACGTAAAACACGAGATTCCTCACTTAGCAAAGTTTGCTTTGGAAGCCACTTTGATACTTTCTACTTTCTTGGGTTCATTTTTCCAGTTAAAGTACCAGGTCACCAAGACAGTGTTATTCACCCAAGCAATGACTGCCAGAGTTTAGCATAGTGACCTGACCAGAGTAACTTGATTTGTCTTTCCACACTAAAAGAGATGTTGTGTGACACGATTACAACCTAAGGGTCTGAAGGGCACTAAAGACTAAAGTATGCTTCAGTTTTGATTTGAAATGCTTAACGTGCGCCTACAGCTGAACACTTAAAAAAAACAAAAAAACACTGGAATTTTCTAAGTATACTACATTTATTGGTGCTCGACACAAGTGCAGTAGATTCATCCTGAAATTCGCCATTTAGTTTAAGGTCCAACTCTCACTGTTAACTAGTTGCTTATTAGCATTCATATTACTAGCATATTGGCAGTTTATTAGCACTTATAAAGTACATATTAATGCCTTATTCTGCATGACCATATTCTAGACCCCTTAACCCGATCCAATACCTAAACTTAACTACCTTAGTTATTTGCTGCTATTATTATTTGCTTGTTAATAGTTATTTGCTTGTTAATAGTTATTTGCTTGTTAATAGTTATTTGCTGCTATTAACAAGCAGCAAATTAGGAGTTTATTGAGGGGAAACTCTTAGTTAATAGTGAATATATATATATATATAAAAAATTTTTGTAGTCTTACTAGCGTAATGCTTGAGAAATGGAAACTAAGGCTTCAAAAATGTTGCTTTTTGCTTGTCACAGCTTGACGGTAATTACGCAGATGGAAGATTTTTCGAATTTGAAGAATTCTCTAGAAACTCCCACACAATTTTAAAAGTAGAGCATTTCTCACATTTTGGACAGTCTTGATGCTTTCTCTGATCCCGTCAATCCCACAATCCCTTGTGTGAGCATGTAGTCCGGGTCTTGAAAATGCCCACTTTGCTTCTCCCGCTCCTCTCACTCCACACACACAATAATACATAATGTTGATAGTACTTTCATTTGAGGAGCTTAAACTAGTCTACTACGGTTTCTTCTGAGTGTGTCGCTGAATGTTTGGCAATTATGTGTGTGGCGTCATATCTGGGATGGTTTTTATTCAATTACTCATTGAGTTGTCTCGCTCTCCCTCTGTAGCCCCTCCCACAATTGTCACGGATACCGGGACTGGTGCTTTCGGGTTTGGCCTTCTCCAATTGTTTAAGGTTGGTTGAGTTCCTGCATGGTTACGGAAAGATTCTGGGTCTCCAGGTGCCCAAGGATATTCCCAGCCTGAGCGCCCTGCAGGAAGGGCTCCTCGGCATGGAGAAGAGCCAAG